GAATACTGAGACATAACCTAGCAAAAACAGTCAATAACTTCCACATCAGTAGGTCATGTAAGGATTACATTATAGGTGCACATACCGGGATCAAACTTTTTAAGTGTTTAACCCCAGAAGAATATCCTTATTCCTTAATGATTTTGCTGAGTATAAGGCAGTGTTTCAGCTCGCTAACAAAGTAAATTGAAGACATTCATAATCATTGTTTTCTCATCTATAATGATATTATTTTAGTGACTGCCTATGTTTGTAACTGTACAAACTGATTAGTGTTCCTACATATAGTGTAACATTTAACATGGTTTAGTTGGAATTGCAGTGGGAGTCATATATTTCAGTTATCAGAACTTTTAAATAAATGTTTTTAGTCTTATTAAGACAATAAAAGGGGGAATGTATGACTGATCACATATTCAAATATGTGAAATTCTTCTTTATTTAACATATCAGATTAATATGTAGGAAGTTGTGCCTGGAATCTCTCACAGCTTAAAAGGGGGAGGGTATCAGTCTTCCTTTTGTATTTACACAGAATATAATTTTAAATGTTAAAATTACTTTCATCTTTACAAAAAATATCATAGTAATACACACTGTATTACCTGTGTAGTTATTCTTTGTTTGTGCTTAAGTGCTATTTGAGTAGAGATGTAATGCTCAGTTTTTCTACAGCCTAAATAAAAGTCCCTAGCCAGAACTTGGAATCTTAAAACTTGAAGGAACACATCCTTCACTTAAGGAACAGATCCTTCACTTAAGGAACTTTTTACCCAGGTGGCTTCAATTTCCTGTACACGGGCATCACATAGAGCCTCCTGAAAACCCAAACCCTTGGAATAACAAGAGTAGAATAAAATAAAATATTTCAGCTGTAGGAGACCTACAAGAATAATTTAGCCCAATGCTTCACTTCAGGACTGACCCAAAGGTAAAGCAGGCTCTTAAGGGCTCTGTCCAGATGCCCCTTACACAGTGATAGTCTCAGGGCATCATCAGGCTCTCTCTTTATTATAAAGAAATGCTTCCTAATGGCAAGTCTGAACCTCCCTGCCCAGCTTTGAACCGTTCCCACATATCCTGTCACTGGATCCCAGGGAGAAGAGATCAGCACCTCCCTCTCCACTTCCCCTCCTCAGGAAGCTGTAGAGAGCAAGGAGGCTGCCCCTCAGCCTCCTTTACTCCAAACTAGACAAGCCCAAAGCCCTCAGCAGCTCCTCACAGACCATGGTGTGCAGTCCTTCCACCAGCTGCCTTGCCCTTCTCCAGACACCTTCCAGGACCTTCCCATGGTTCTGGAATGGTGGAGCCCAGAGCTGCACCCAGCACTCGTGGGGAGGCCCTGCCCTAACACTGGACACAGAGGGGTGGTCACCTCTTTAGAGTGCCAAGGTTGCTGCACTCAGAATGGGTTTGCTGCACTCAGGATGGGTCAGGACGGGTTTGCTGCAGCCAGGATGGGTTTGCTGCACTCAGGATGGGTTTGCTGCACTCAGGATGGGTTTGCTGCAGCCAGGATGGGTTTGCTGCACTCAGGATGGGATTTGAGGCACTCAGGATGGGTTTGCTGCACTCAGGATGGGTTTGCTGCACTCAGGATGGGGTTTTCTGCACTCAGGATGGGTTTGCTGCAGCCAGGATGGTGTTTGCTGCAGCCAGGATGGTGTTTGCTGCAGCCAGGATGGGGTTTGCTGCACTCAGGATGGAGTTTGCTGCAGCCAGGATGGGGTTTGCTGCAGCCAGGATGGTGTTTGCTGCACTCAGGATGGGTTTGCTGCACTCAGGATGGGTTTGCTGCAGCCAGGATGGGTTTGCTGCACTCAGGATGGGATTTGAGGCACTCAGGATGGGTTTGCTGCAGCCAGGATGGGTTTGCTGCACTCAGGATGGGGTTTTCTGCACTCAGGATGGGTTTGCTGCACTCAGGATGGGTTTGCTGCAGCCAGGATGGGTTTGAGGCACTCAGGATGGGTTTGCTGCACTCAGGATGGGTTTGCTGCACTCAGGATGGGGTTTTCTGCACTCAGGATGGGTTTGCTGCAGCCAGGATGGTGTTTGCTGCAGCCAGGATGGGGTTTGCTGCAGCCAGGATGGGGTTTGCTGCAGCCAGGATGGGGTTTGAGGCACTCAGGATGGGTTTGAGGCACTCAGGAGGGGGTTTGCTGCAGCCAGGATGGTGTTTGCTGCAGCCAGGATGGTGTTTGCTGCAGCCAGGATGGGGTTTGAGGCACTCAGGATGGGTTTGCTGCAGCCAGGATGGGTTTGAGGCACTCAGGATGGGTTTGAGGCACTCAGGATGGGGTTTGCTGCCCTCTTGGCTGCCAGGGCACACTGCTGGCTGCCACAGAGCCTGCTGCCAACCAGCACTCCCAGAGCCCTCTCTGCAACCCCAGAGCTGCCCCTCTCCCAGTTTAGACTTGTGTCTGGCATTTCTCTATCCCAGTTGCAGAATCTGGCATTTTGACTTGTCATTTTCATGTCATTGATGATTGCCCAGTGCTCCACTCTATCTAGATCCCTCTTTCTGCAAGGGCTTTTGTCAGTTAGGAGAGTCAACAGCACCTCCCAGTTTGATAACACCAGCAAACTTACTAATGGTGCATTCAACTCCTATATCCAGGTCATGGTTAAAAATGAACAGAACTGGCCCTAGAACTGAGCCCTGTAGTTCACCAGTAGAGTAAAACAAAAAGTAGACATAAGTTTGCAGAAAGAGCAAGTGAATCATTTAGTGTCTATGAAATCTGTCTTCAAATCAATCATATTTTATGCTAAAAAATAGTTTAAAAAGTAATTTTACAATCTATATGCAAATAGGATTTCTGGGATTGTAGAGACATCTATCAGAGAAAGGTGAAAATTCATTTTATCAAAATTTCATCTAAAAATGGTGAACAAAATAATTAGTAGTGAAAACAATTTCTCTTTAAGCTTGTTCTAGTAGAATATGTGGAGACTCATTTTAAATATAGATCCCATTTCTGAGCTATGTAAAGTAATTAACATATTTTAGTGGTAACCAGTGTTTCTTGCCTTATGTGATGCACTAAAAGTGAACACAGATTCTTTGCCTTCAGTGGCCATACACATGAAATCTACTAAAAGAAACTCCAGCAACAAAAATCTTCCAAATGATGAAAAGCCCAACAGTTACCCTCAAAAAATGTGGAATCAATATGGCATTGAGGAGTCAGTGTCATCTGTAATGCCTCTTTTCAAGTGAAATTACTAGAGATGGCAATTGTTTTTGCAGATTGGTTCTCTGAATAAAGAAGACCACAAGCTGCAACAAAATGAGAGTAGGGCAGTAGTGGGAATGAGCAGCAGGTAGTTTAACCCTGGTGTACAGTATTGCTGTGGATTAAGCACTCTGGTACATGTGACCTAACATTCAGATTTAGGATTTAAATGTTTGTACACTCTCAACTGTTTGATTGTAGTATTTTTTTAGGAAGGGAGACTCTCTGGCTACAATATATAGTAAACTGACAGTATGATGATCTTTTGAGCTTGTAGTTTTTTTCTTGAAGCATGCTTTTAAAATTCAGTCTTTCCTGTGTGATTGAATACTTTGACTTCATGGTATTTTCCACTGAAGCAAGTCACTGAAGAAATCGGACTGTTAAAAGAAAGAACATTATTGCCAAGCAAGAATGTTTTCTTGCATAGTAATTGTATATATTTAATAATGTACTTTTTTTAAAAACTTGCAAAGCTAATATTACACAATTAAAAGAAATTACTCCTCACAGCTAATATATTAAAATACTTGTCAATTGCCTTGGGAAAAAAAAAGGAGAAACTAGTTTTACAGGTAAATTCAAATATCAGCAATAGTAGTTTTCCATTTCTACTATACAGAGAGTAAATTCAGGCAGTATTGATAAATTATGTCACTAAAATGATAATTAGTGTATAATTCAAATACTGTGGTATTTGAAGTATGATAGAGAGAATTCATTAAAAATGTTTACAGAAATAATTATAAGTATTTTTTTTGAAAAAGTTTAAGTGGTGATTCCATTGCTTTCATTTCGGCCATTTATTGTAGCTAATAATTGTGTGCCTTTTCTTACTGTGCATTCCATTGTCTCTGTCATTTTCATTGTTGGTTTTTGCTCTTCTGGCCCCCAAGATAAATTATCCTTAGGTTTTTTCTTTAATGTTGTTGCCAAACCGATCAAAATCAAAATATCCATTGTTATTTAAAAGGAAAAGAAAGAAAATGGACATGAGAGTAACCATACATTTGCATTTTAAAAAAATCTACTTTGTATTTTAGTTATACTGTGTTTTCTTTTCCTTTTTAAAAGCCAAATTATTGTGAACAAATCTGCTTTTCCAAAGGCTGGATCCTGCAGTCTGTGTAGCTTCTGACTTTCCATTTACTTTGGCAGCTGGGGATCTTCAAAGGGTGCTGGCAAGAGTTAGGGTTGATGTCCTGTCCCAGCGAAGCTAATGATGTAAAGCCTATTGAATTATTTTGGTTTGGGATTTGATTCTGTGACTTCAGATAGTCAAAGTTTTGTTTCTAATTCAATTCTTATTGCAAGCTCTGCATGTTTCTTCCTGGTATAGTTGAAGGGAAAACATATGGAGGCTTTCCAGAAAATCGTTTAGGGATTTTTTATTTAATTTTTTTTTTACTTTAGTGGTTATGTTTTTGTTCAATCTGGGTTATTTTTATTTCAATGCAGCTCACTAGTAATTCTACTTCTTTGAGCTCATTCTGAGCAGCTTGGAAGGTAAAATGAACTTTGAGGCTGTGATCCTGCAGTTTATGTGCAAGGAAAATTGGATGTGTGCAACGACTTTCTGACCTCATTGAGGAGGCTTGTGTTCACTGGGACTCTAGAATGAGGCCTTTTAATAAAATATATGCCCTATCCAGGGATAAACAGGCATTTCTGTTGATCTGTAAGGAATCTGTCAAAACTTCTCTGATCAGGCTTTTTTACTATCCCATCTTGAGTCCTTTTTTTAATGACATCTATTATCAGATTGAAATGGCGATTGAGACACTGCAAAAGTCTGATGGTCTGTCCACTCACAGAAGCTCTCTTCTCAACAGCCATGTAAGTTGTCTCTTCTTCACATACACTCTCTCTTGCTTGTTCTGCATGCTTAGCCTGCCTCTAAATGTTTGTTTTATTTTATTATTACTTTTTGCTCTTAATCTTCCCATCTTAGTTGCTTGTAATCTTCTACTACACCTCCCATGGCTTTATTTTGTCAGATTAAATGTCTTTATGGTATATTGCAGAGTGTTACCTGTTTCCTATGCTGTACACCTGTGTTAGGATGAGTTAACACATTTGACTGTTTTGCGGGTTACAGTGTAAATGTCAAGCTAATGTTCAATTAATTCTAAATGAGCTGGCTTTTGGTATTTTAAATACAATTGTCTACATCATAAGAACTGTACCATATACTAATTTTGTGGCATGTGAAGAGGAAGAGAAGAAACAAACAGCACACCTAAATAATATATTTAGGTTATTCCTAGGTATTTCTTCATTTATTCTGACTAGTGAGTTTATTTTGAAATTATTTAATAATCTTAAGGATCCTTCTGATGACCTGGTAAAAATTGAAAGCAGTGCCTTAATTTGAAGAAATTAAAAAATGTCTTGTTCATCTGCCTTTTACTTTGTGCTTATCCTTCAAGTCTTACAGTTAAGAACTTTTCATAGAAAAAGCTAAAAGATATTTGCAGAAAACATGATCTCCAAATATAGTGATAAGTTCATTATATATAACCTTAAAATTAAGGGGAAAGACCAAGATAATTTTACACTTATTATATAAATAATATTATGATTTTGTGAGTTGTTAGCCTTTCTGAATTTTTTCTTTTTTTTCTGTCGGTACTTATGGTTTTAAATTTTGTATATTTGCCATGTTGATTGGTTTGTATTCATATTACTTTTATTTCCCTTCTCAGCTTTACTTGTAATATAAATTCAAATACCATTATTGTTTTACAGAAGAAATTGAAATTTAGTTTGTAGTCTGAATGTCGAATATGATGGTAGAGGTTGTCCTTTGGAAATCAAATTAAAAATGTATGCTTTAGAAAGTTTGAATTTAGAATTGGATTTTTTTCCTGTTGGGGTCTGGTTTTGTTGAAATTAAAATTAAAAATGTTTTGTTGAGAATTTAGGCAAACTGTTTTTTCTTAAAGGTAAAATTTAGAGAGGAAAACTGTATTATAAAAAAATTACAGGAAATTATGTACAGACAGACATTTAGATTCTACCTTATGTGCTTACAAAATAATTTTTGAATATAAGGTGGTATCAAAATTATTATTTAAATAATAATATATATTATTGGACTGCTAATATCAAATCATTGTTCAAATGTCATTTTTAACAGACTGTAACTTTTTGGGGAATATTTTAGAACTATTTAGAAGGACTTAAAACATTAGAACTATTCTAAGTTTGTGCTTAAACCTGTTAGGAAGTCCACAGTCTTTGTATAAAACCAAGAAAGGTTACAAGATAAGCTGCAGTGCCTCTGTAAGCTTTGTTTCCTGGTTCTAGGCACTATTCACAGTGTTTTCCTAATAACAAGATTTGCACAGAAGATCACAGTCTTCCAAGCTGTGAAGACTTACCATGGTATTTCTTTACTGTAAACACTTAGTGAAAAATACTGTGATAGGAATGAATCTTTGACTCTGTGGGGAAAGAAAAATTTAAAACAAGCCTTGTATGCATTTTTGTGGCAAGAAGTCTTTACTGTTTTTGGTCTTTTTGAAAGAAATTTAAAATCTAGATCAAGCCTACAGGCTGTTTTGCCTGTTTTTAAAGCACTGCTTATTGTCTTTAAACTCAAAGACAGTGTAAAGGAGAATAGGATTTTAAAATAGAATTCTAAATTGCGTTTTTAATTAACTTATACACTTAGAAGGTGATAAATTAATTTGTGGAAATATTTTAGTTTGGGATTTAAATTTTTACCCGTTGATACCTCAGTGAGGTTTTGTAGGATTTTTTTTCCCAAGTACATGAGTTCTCATTTTAAGGAGTTTGTCATTTCTCCTCTGTTTTCTTTTGTTTCTTGATGTATTTCTGCATGGGATCAACTTACTCAACTAACTGATAGTTGAGTGATTTATAAATGTTGCAGCTTAATTGAAATCACACTCAATTTTACAGGTCTGGCTTCGTAAATATTTCATACCTTTCCACATCTTACCAGTACATTATGGTCAGTACTACAAATTCATAAGCCATGACTCAAACCTGGAAAGTTTTAGAATTGTATTTTAGCTTGATAGAAAAATGTTTGGATTCTTTAAAAAGTTTTTTACAATAATGTTTGGATTCAATTTTCTCTTAAAATCATGAATTAACTGCACTTTTTCTTCCAGGATATAATCTATCAAGTAAGGATTTCAAGCCCTTGCTACTAAGTAACTCCTTCCAAGAGCAAAAATCCTTTTATTGCACTTAACTTTTGATTTAGGTTTTTTGTGTGTTGAATAATGCAAGTTATGTTTGAAATAACATCTGTTAGAAATTAATATAATTAATGAAGTGCACTCAAAGTGATTAATAATAGATTAGAAACCATATGGAGGAAAATATCTTTAATGCTACATACAACTTAATTACAAAATAATTAATTTTTGTTTGTCAGTCTTTTGGGATTGACAGAGTTTTTCTCCTTGGGGAAGGCAGAAGTACTTCATGTTCTGTATCGTTCTGAATCAATTCTAGATGTAATAATATATGACAAATGTTATATAAATGTATTAATAAAAATAGAGATGTAATAACAGATTTTCAATATGCATAGATTGCAACCATTGAAAGTCATAATTACCTTTGTTTGTAAGCCAAGACAGGCTTGTGTCCGATCACTAGTGAAATGAGTTTAATACATTCACACAAAACTCAAATATTAACAATTATACCTCTTCTTCAGCTATATTTCAAAACAATAGATGCTCAGTTTGGAAGCACTTGTGAATGTTAGTACATATAAAACAATGATAAGTGATGATTAGCTGTACTTCTTCATTTTCTTTATTTGAAATGCAAAATTGCCTGCAAACCAAGCTAAACATTGTATGTCTTGGAAGGATTTTCATCTTCTCTCTGTATTTTTCTACAGCTTAGAAAATTCTAGGGATCCATGACAAGTACTGGGAAAAATAATGAAAATGTTGACTTATCAAAAAACTAAAACAATGAAATTTAATGTATTTTTAGACTATATTGGTTTTGATATATTTCATAATTTTTATTTACTATTAAATCTAGAAGTATTAAATTGTCCTCTTAACTTTTTTTTTTTAATATATATTAGCAACAGCTAGAGGTGTTTCATGAGTTTGCTGTACTTAGAATCTTCAGTGATGTTACATAAAGTCTCTTCTTGCATGTTTCTAATTATCTACCACAATTACATTAAAAGATTACTGTTTTTCCAATAAACTCATTCTGTTCCTTTTGGAAGTCAAAGGCAAGCAGGCTACAGCTGAAAGGGTTTGTATCCTTAATGATTCATAGACATACCAATTATTTTCAATGTTACCTAGGTAGTTCTTTGACTTTTATGCAGTAGCTTTTTTCTGATCTTTATCTTAATGTTATTTTAATAACAGACAAAGAGAAACAGTATCATATTCCAGATTTACAAATACATTAATTACCTGTTGTGCCCAAGGAGTTTGTTTTCTGCAATTTATGTGTATTACATTCATAATTCCTTTATTTCTTTGTGGTACTAATAATTTGTCTCCAAAGCTTAGATACCTTTATCACATACTGATGTGTGATACTGAATCAAAAATATTTTAAGAAAAGGGCACTTTACTGAGGTCACAAGTGCAATGAAGTCTGCTATTCCCTGGTAATTCTGAAGGTATTAAAGCATTATTGTTTAACTAGCATTTAAAGACATTCTGAGGAAGAAAGTAATTTTTTAATAGACCTGAAGAGTGGTTCCAACTTGTTCCAACAAGTTAATGCTGTATGGCTACAATATTTTTAATAAAGTATATAATAAAGTTTGTTTTTTTCTGTTTCATATGTGATATAGCTTCAATGGCTTTTAGACAACTATGAAACTGCAGAAGGAGTGAGCCTTCCAAGAAGTACCCTTTACAACCATTACTTACGACACTGTCAGGAGCACAAGTTGGATCCAGTCAATGCTGCCTCCTTTGGAAAACTCATACGGTCAATCTTCATGGGACTACGGACCAGAAGACTTGGAACTAGGTTTGTGCAATTGAAATCCTGAATTATAATAAAAAAATAAATATAATAATTATGAATAAGAAACTAGTCTGCTAAGAAGAAGAATACATAAGACCTGCATTAAAATATTAGTGTTTTTCTGTTAGCTGTATTTCTTCATGTTGAACAGTTCTATGTTTTTTCAATATATTATTACAGTTTTATTTCTTCTGCTTTTGACAGTTTATGTGTTTATATTTTGGTAACTACACTTCAGATTCTTATCATTATAAATAAAACATAATTTTCCATTTGGAATCACTAAGAATACTGTTTGCCCATAACTAGATAAATTGTATTTATTTACGTTTCATTTTTCTTACTCAAGTGGAGTGAAAGTTAATATGCTGATAATATTTGTTTAAGAGAGTGAATTAATTTCCCAAAGGTAGTAAAATGACACTCATGTAAAACAGGTATGACAGGAGAGCCAGACCTGATTTATGTGTGTTGTTTTCCAGTCAGTGTAAATTGTAAAGTAAATGTAATGTAAATGTATAAAACTAGTATTACTGCTTTTTTAATTCTTGCTTTTTCATAAAGGGGGAACTCCAAATATCATTACTATGGGATTCGTGTCAAGCCAGACTCTCCTCTTAATCGACTACAAGAGGACATGCAATATATGGCCATGAGACAGCAGCCCATGCAGCAGAAACAGAGGTAAAGTGTGAAACACAACTATTCACACTATTTCTAGTTCATCAAGTCTTACTTTTCCTTACATGGACAAGTTCGAATTCCTGTTCAGTTTTTTTGCTGTGAAAACAAAAGTGTGCTGAATACCCAGTTGATGTCAATGACGTCAGGCACTGGTCAATGTGAAAGAATATTTACCTAGAATATGAACTTGCAGAAAATAAATAATAATAAAATGACCGATAATATGAACAGATTCTTCTTAATTATATTGAATTCTTGTCCCACAAGCTGTATAAAAGCAGTAAGATCTTTAATTTCAAACATTCCTGTTTCTTTTCATTGCTGTATCATTTTATGTTCACACTTCTTATCAGAGAACTTACTATTAAGTTGCTTGGAATTTATTTCATATCCCTGTGAAGAATTAATATGACCACAATGGTTTGCCTCCAAGTACATGTAAGTATGTTCCCTTAGTATCTGTTGTTCCTGAGGAATCTGTGAAGGCTCAGAAGTAGTTGAAAGCTGTGGCACAGGGCTGTACTGGTGATGAAAGAAAGTGTGAATATGCATATTAAAAACTATGTTAAACAGAAAATTTTAGGGGGAAAATTGGAAATTAGTGCTTTTCTTTGAAATTGATTTTGATTTGACTGGTTTCACTAGCCAGTAATATTACCCTAAAGTAAACTATGTTAGATGCATAATTTCATTACACTCATAGATAGAAGAGCACCATATCAAGCAAGTCACCTTTAGAACATTTACTCCTCCAAAAACGTTCCGTTGAATGTTTGGTATGGTGTACTAAACATAATTTGTGTCCTTGTACACAACTGAGATATGGAAAACAACAATTTCAAACTTTTACTTCAAACACAAAGATAAATTTGATCTGAAATGATTTTACTGTCATTTCCAGATAGTACAGATTATTTACAACATTAAATGGAAGCTCATGATAAGGTATATGGCTTTAACTATCTTTTGCTGAGCATAATACAGGAGCATGAGATGTCTCATAATAACATCATTAGAAAATGCTTGTTACAAAAACCATGGCAGGATTATATAGTAAGGAATGATGATAGATATTTACAAAATCTCCCAGCAAGCTTATTTTACCCTCTCAATCTCATTCACTTAGACATTTCATTCACTTGCATTCAGAATTACATATGTGTACCAAAACATATGTCACAATGGTCTAATTAGAATTATTTCTAGAAAAATGATGCCAGTCAACTAAACATTGTCACATATCTTGTCTTCTTTGTGATTCACAAATTAAAAATAATTTTGGAATTTCATTATATAGCTGTTAGGACTGGATATTTATTTTTGTATTATTTCCTTGATTATTTTATTTAACACCACTGTATGTCTTACACAGTTCCCTTATTTTCCTTACCTAAGTATGTTTGGCATCATTTTCTTGACTTTTAGTGAGTATGTTCCTTGATTATATCTGTACAAAATGACACATATGGCACTGTGTGCAGTTAGTGCACACTTCTGTGCCCCATGTTTTGCAGTGGCACACATGTACCTGCACCAACATGCACCCAATTTAGGCTCAATTCACACCAATCCTAAGCTCTGCTGTGAGAATCTGTAAAGGTGTTGATGAGGGGTGGGAACTGCAAGGTACTCTTATGCACAATAGGTAGCTGTTACATTAAAAATACTGTGCTGTAGGAGGCTTAGTATTTAACTTCAGTGTTTCATATATGATGGTATGTATTCTTATCATTGTTATCCAAGTATATTGAAAGATTCTAGCAGGATTTATTAACAGAGAACTAAAAAACTGAATATTGTAATTTTCATTATTATGGTATTCTTTCTCTTTTGTCAGCTTATTTATATTTCTAGTAGTTTTTTTTGTCTTTTAAATCGGGGGTAAATTGCAGTAAATATACTTTTCTCCTGGGTAGTTATTCCAATTCTACCATCTCTGTCAGACACATCTAATTGAATAAATACTTCTAGTTCTCTTCAGCAAAGGCTGTAAACTGAATGTATGCCTCATTTTTCTTCATTCCTTTTCTTAATTTGGGAACCATGAACCTTTTGGATTTGCATAACTTCAATATCCCAAAGTGCTCATTTTGAAGTCATCGCTATCCTCAGACAGTATTGTTGTTTCTTCTTAAAAGTAATGAAATCTTACCTTTGTATTACAAAATTATATCAATCTGTGTGGAAAGGGAATGATTTGATTTTTTTTGGGATAAATTTGCCGGTGTTACAATATACTGTTACTAAGCTAAATTCTACCAGAAATTGGGAGTACTTCTGGAATATCACCTTTGTGAATTCTGTAATGCATTGTTAACACTCTGGCTTCCCTTAGTGGTTTTTATATCTTTTTTTTACAAAGTAAGGAAGAATCTCTAAATTCTTTTGACACTTGTCGTGAAAATTTTATTTTGAGATGAAAAAATCAAACTCAGTGTTTCATTTATGAAGAAGTAAGCAGAAAGGATAATTTTGTACTTGATATTTTTGCAGGTATAAGCCTATGCAGAAAGTGGATGGAGTTACAGATGGCTTCACAGGAAGTGGTCAACAGACAGGCACATCTGTTGAACAAACTGTAATTGCCCAAAGTCAACATCATCAACAGTTCCTAGGTATGAAAGCAGGTTTTATACTGCTATATAAGTAAGTAAGGTGAACTTTGTTTTCACAGTGAATATTAAGCCAGACAAGTAAAATAGTTGCATCTGAAGTTATCATGCCCTCTCTAAAATCCTTACTCTCAACAGAACAGAAAGGCACTTAAATTACACTTTATGTAATTTAAGTCTTATGTAATATTTAATATGCATCGTGTAAGTATAAAAGGAAAAATAGGAAGAACAGTATATATATATATATATATATATACACACAGAGATATACTTCATATTACATAAATATGAAGTTGCTTTGCATAATTATATTAAATGTGCTTATTGAAATTCCTGCTATGAAAGTTGTTTCCTTCATGTGCATTACAGTGCATTTTTTTTCATGAAAGTTGTCGTGGGGGGATGGTATTGCACTACTATGCAGGTTAGCCACCCCTGGCTGTTTTGAAAGGGTGTTCTAGTGTTGTGAGTGGAAATAGACAAATAATTTCAACTGAAAACCTAAAGGTCATGTTTAAAAATATCCAAATAGTGGATTTGTGGACCAGTTAAGCATGTATTCCACTCATAGAAACAAATCATAATTTAGTTAATTGTTTATGTAAAAGGAGTCCTTGGCTGTGCTGATAGAGTGTGCTGTTACCGTAGGCTTATTTGGTTGGGATTTTCAACCACCAAATCCTTTGGCTTGATTTTGCTATTAGTAAAACCATTTGGAGCATAAGATAGCATTAAAATGTTTTGAATCTTTCTTTTCCAGGTGTCTTTCAGCCCAGTATTTTATCTTACTTAGAAACATTTGTGGCAAATAGTAAAAGCACACATTGGCTCTACTTGAAAGTCTAGTAAATGTCAAGTAAAAATGTATATTGAGTTTATTAAGCTTCATCACACCTAGCTGCATGGAAGCTCTTCAGCTGAGCAACAAAAAAATTTTTCAAGGATTAGTCTCTCCTGCACGGGCTCTACATATTTTCTTTGTAATAGTCTGAAAAAGCATGTGTTAGGTTTTACATATAGGTATAGTATATACACAATAGCATTATAATCTATACAAGTATAATTTTGTATTTGTTTTATACTAAAAATTATTAATGTATTTAGCATTTTGGCATACAACAGGTATTAAATAATTTCCCATTTGAATATTATGACCTTTTGAAATTTATTTCTATGTATAATCTTAATTTTTTTTTAACCATACTGTAACTGGCACCTCTTTCATTATGTTGTCATGACAACAGATGCATCTCGAGTACTGCCAGAGTTTGGCGAAGTTGAAATATCTTCTCTGCCAGATGGTACTACCTTCGAGGATATCAAATCACTACAGAGTCTTTATCGAGAGCACTGTGAGGTATTTCTTAGAAACCTTTATTTTCAAAAGTTCATTACTTTTATTGAAGGCCAGTACAGGAGAATAAAGTCAAATATATTGCAGCCATGATAGTGGCATGTGACTTTCCCCACAATATTTTACTTATCTCAATGAAAAGGAGAGCAAAATGGGTTTTCTGAATGATTCCCTTGATAGGGGAAAGAGTTATATGTATTAAATACTGAATTAAATGTTGTTACATGTATGTTTTTCTTTATGTTAGACTTTAAATTGTGTATGCAGATATTTGGTTTAGTCAGTAGGAAATGTAAATCAGATTAGATTATAATTTTATTTTCTTTTACATTAAAAGCAGTGACATTTTTCTCCTATCAAAGAAACATTAAAATATTTAAGGCACATTTGATACTGAACAATATGTCTTTTAAAATTATTTTTGGAAGTACTTCATCTTATAAGGCATTATGAAAAGGAGTAACATGTCAGGTTTACTTTTCTATTTGCAGTAGCGGTAGGTATTTTCTGTGCCTAAAGTCCTCTGATATGTTTACATAGGCCATACTAGTTCCCAGAGACTTCCATGCAAGCCTTATGCAAGTCTCTGTGCACAACAATTTTTAGTACTGGATAATTTATAGGTATCAAAGGTAATAGAACAGGTACCATTTATAACTGGAGAAATGCACAGTTTGTCTTGGTTCCACTCTGTGATGAAGGAAAAGAGCTGTAGATGTAGTTGGATTTGGTTTTGGAGGGATTCTGGGTAAAAAACAATATGATCTCATGTTTCATTTTTTCAGGCAATACTGGATGTGGTTGTTAATCTTCAATTCAGCCTGATAGAAAAATTGTGGCAAACTTTCTGGCGCTATTCTCCTTCTGCTCCACCTGATGGCACTCCTGTTAATGAACCAAGGTCAGGAAATGTTTCTCTTTGTTTCATGTGTCTCATGATAATGTAAGTGTGAAATTTAAAAAATCTTATTAGTTTTAAAATAGTAATTTTTTCTCCTATGATTATTTCCCAAATTAAATTTACATTGGCTGGCAGTTTTGTATAGCCTGGGTGTATGCCAAAGGACAGTCTTGGGACATCCATATTGTGTCATCCATGGGGGTATTTTGCATAGACAAATACAGTGAAGTTGTCTCTTCCCAATATTCAATCCACTTCTTTTAAAGCAAAAGGATCATTCGTATGTCTGCACTGTTTATGAGCTGTAGGAGAATTATGGAGACATTTCTTAAACCCATTTCCACGTGAGACAACATGTAAGTAAGTTACATTGGGTGCAACTGAGAGATCTATGATGCCTGTATAAAAAAGTACATTTTAACACCCAATTTTTTACCTGCTGTAACTCATGGAATCATAAAAACTTTAGGTCAGAAAAGTCAAATTCAACTGTTAAACTAGCACTGCCATGTTAGCTGCTAAACCATGCCTCTAGGTGCCACAAATGCATTATTCATTTATTAATTTGCTACATTTTTTTAACACCAGCAATCTGAGTGAAATAGAAAGTCGACTTCCTAAAGCAAAGCTGATTACTCTGTGCAAGAATGAGTCTATTCTGAAATGGATGTGTAACTGTGACCATGTGATGTACCAGGCTTTGGTGGAGATTCTCATTCCTGACGTCCTTAGACCTATTCCTAGTAAGTTCAACACCTGAAACTTTTTATAAAGATTTTTCTGCAAGCATGTATATGGCAGAGGTGTACTTATGCCTCATGGGACAACTTAAGAAAAAAATTTGAAAGTTACAAAATACTGTATAATTTATCCTCAGTTTTGTTGTGTAAGGAGTTGTGCTAGGAAATGCCTACATCACATATTAATCTTTGATTAGGCTGGGAGAGAACTGTGGTCTTTATGATTCCATGTTTGGAGAGGTGGTCCTTTATCCCTGACTGCTGAAATCAATTCTAGTAACTGTTATGGCAATGAAAAATTCCTAGTCCAATTTATTACTCTAATCTACTGTTTTTCTGTCATACATTCTGCATGAAATAGTGCGTGATTGCCCAGTCATACCACTATTACCAGAAGTAGAGGTTTCTTTTCAAATTTAATTTTACTAGAATCTGTCATTGCTCTAGCAATGTATTTCTATCTTTGGTAGAAAACAAATTTATGTGAATGAAGTTTAACTCCTTCATTAAGTATTTATTCTCTCACATATACTGTCCTAAATGTTATACTGCAATCATGTTAGCAACCCACTAAAACCCTCATAATTCCTATCTATTATCTTCTTCCAATGAAAAAAAAAAAAACAGTATTTACTTTAAAAAGTTGTATTGATTCTTTTTTTTAATTAAGGCTGAAAGTAGTTTTGCAGGTAACAAAGCTATATTGTCATGCTGTGAACACCTCCTCTGCTATAGTGAGTCCAGCAGTAATAAGCAGTTAGAATATTTGGTGGTAGTGCCTTGCAAAAACGCATTATTGACTTCTTGCTTGCCAGTGGTATAAAATGAGGTTTTAGCAAATTATGTATAATACCAAAAAAATTGAAACTGAAAATGTATAAAATGTGAAGGTTTGCCATTTACAATGCACATTTTACCTTTTGTGTAAGGAACAAGTAAGTTCTTGGTAGCAGTTGACATAATTTGTGCATCTATAAAGCAGAATAAAGGAAAAATGTTTTCTCAAATACATGCAATTATTGGCAACTATTCTTGTGTAAACTATTTTGCATTGGTTTATATTTAAGTTTTTACTCCTTTAATGACCATACCATTAGGTAGGATTTTAGAGTAATATAGTGTATCACAAACAATTAGGTAATAATAAAAACTCCCTCAAATTTAATTATAACATTTAATAGGTTGAATGAAAAATCTCACTTGTAAAAGCAAGTTAATTTCCGAATAAAAAGGTAGTGCAGACAATTTTTCATCAAACCTGACCCTCTCCTTTTCAGTTGCTTTTCCTGTAAAGCCTGGCAGCCTCTAGAGAGATATTTAAATTACATCATGCTGTCTTCCTGCCTTGTTATGTAAGATGCATTGGTCATTACCAGTACAGGATTACTAGAAAATGGGACAAAATCAATTAATACCAATAACTAGATGCATCATATCCTTTTCATGCTATTTCTTTCTTTCTAGAATTACCAGTCATATTTGATTAATTGATACCTACGGTGTTTGACATTCCTGTTTTGGGGATGGTTATCAGACTGTTGGATTCAAACATATCATCTGATCCCAGGACAAATACATCCCAAGAGACCTCTGCCTCCTTTCTGTGAACAGTCCAGTGGTTTTCTGCTCAGAATTGCATTCACTGAGCTACATTTGGAAGACAGCTAACATATTTTCTTACTTTATCCTTTAGGACCGGCTAACTAAATGGCTTTTTTTAGCAGCTTTCCTTTAAATAATGGGCCATCCAAATTTCTTCTTCACTGTTAAATGTTTAAAGTTGTATGATTTTTAAAAACTCCTTCTTTTGAATAAAAGCATCTCCAGTCATTACAAGAGACTAAAATAATGGATTAAGGTTGACTGTAACAAAAATGCAGCTGGGTGAAGCAGACAAATTCATCACCCTCTGTGGGAAAATAGCAGTTTGTAGGAATGTTTGGACTCTGTAGAGGTGCGGGGACTACAAATGCTTCATTAAAGGCATGTTTATGATTTTTTTGAGTAAATGGGAAGGTAGCAGCAGCTGCTGCTCAAAATAGGGACAAATATTAATTTGAAAGGGGCTTGAAGAGAATAAAGACTATAATTATCTAATGTCCTGTTATATTTTAGAATGGACATCTTGCATCTTCTCACATGGCAGAATGGACAGTAACAAATTTGCTTGTGAGTTAGTTTCCATGATAGAGAATTTATGCAAAGTACACTTCCACGTCATATTACACAATTCTAGACTGGCAAACAATTGAAGTGATGGAAAGACTATAAAGCTCAGTTTTGTACAAGTCAGAGGGGTTTGGATTCAGAAGTCAAGCTTTTTAGGTGTTTATGCAAATCAAACTTTCCATAATTGCCATTGCCACATCTTTTAGTGTGTGACTAGCAACACTTAATGATTTAGGCCATTTACTTTTCACCACACTTATCATACAAAGATTCTTGAAAGAGTTCAGATGAACTTAAAAGTTCAAGGGTGTAGTACTTATGGTTTTGATAATGGCTAGATGTGTAGTTAGGGATATGAGAAAAATTCTGTATTTAATATATCTTCAAAAGTCATTAGAAATTCATGATGGTTCTATAAAATACAATGCCTGATTAGCTACTTTTGCTATTTTATTTCTTCAGAACTTAGAATTCCTTTTATTTATTCATTTTTCTTTCTAGTTAAAGGCCTGAGCTGCTTTTCCATATTTATTTTTAAAATAAATTTAAAATATTTCTTTTAAAAGAGATGGCATTACAGTGATGCAAATAATTTTGTAAAATATATAAACTTGGGTAAAAAAGAGTAATGAGAACACTAGAAGTGAAAAAGTGGTAATTTTGTTTTCTTAAATGCTCAAGTACTACTCATACAGTATTTACATTATTACTTCCATCTTCTCTGGTAGGTAAGAAAATGTGAGTGAGTACATAGTCAATTAGTAAGTGCACATAAATAATTTACAAAGCAACACAAGTGAGCTAGGGGATTGACAGGGCTGAAGAAAAAAGCTTGTTCTTCACATGTAATCCTTAAAGGAAGGAAAAAACCTGATACAATAAGAGGGCTCAGCTAACACATATACTTTGTAAGATCAAAGTGTGGTCAGCTAAGCATCCAAAGGTGCGGTGAGTTATAATTACCAATATGGATTCTACTGCTTATGACTGCAAGTTTGAAGACATTTGAAAAAGATACCACAAATAGTGCAGTTTTTCTTTTAGTAAATTTACATTTCTGGTAGAAAGCTTTATTTTAAAAATGTATTATTTAAAAAATGTATTCTTTAGGGTTTTTTCCCTCTTTACTTTTGTGGTTGTATTCATTCTCTAGTAGTCTTCAGAAATCTTTAGGTTTTTTTCCTTTTTTTCGCCTACTTTTTGCAGCAGTTTGAGTGTAGTGCTGTTATTTCAATGTATCAGCTTTAGGCATGGGAAAGCTGTGTTTCTATCATTCAGAAAATATGATTTCATTTTTTCCAGATACTATTCCTTGGGACAATACTTCCGGTCCTCTTTTGATAAATTAAAATTTCTGCTTTTAGTAATGCAGCAGTGTCTCTCTAAATCTGACAGCCATCCAGCATTTCTGTAGATGCTATAGAAAATAAACAAAATGCACACAGATTTCATAGTCATTTGAATAATTCCACTTCCTGACAGTGAAACACACTCCTATATCTTGCTTATTGATGATATCATTAAGGACTGCATGTGAACGGAATTTATTCGAAGCACTCTGACATAGTTTAGGATTACTTTGGACTTATTTGAGGAAATTGCAGTATTCCTGTAAGTAGATTTTCCCCCAGACTTTTGCTTTTTGAAAGAGTTATCTAGGTAAAATAGAAAGCTGAAAATTTGTGATGGAAAATTCCACCACAGTTGCTGCAGTTAGTGTTGTTCTTGTATAGGAGTGCCCCAAACAATACTGCTAAGTCACAAACTTCTTTGGAAGATTGTCTGGTGAAGAAGTCAGAACTGCTTATTAAACCAAAACTAAAAATAATTATTACATTATATTATTAATACATTACTGTGTAATATTTATCTCAGTGAGGTATTTTGAGCCTAGACTAGATTTGTCAAGTAAGTAAATGCAGCAGACCTGAAAGTTGGGCGCAAGAGTTCTGAGGATGCAAAACATTTCAAGACAGGTGCACTGCTTTATTTTCATTCTGTTTTTATTCTCCAATGTGCAGGTGCCTTGACCCAAGCCATTCGCAATTTTGCAAAAAGCCTTGAAGGTTGGCTTTCAAATGCCATGAACAATATTCCACAAAGGATGATACAAACCAAGGTAGATGAAACTTGAAGTACTATTCTTGTAGTGGCAAACCAAGTGGGCAGTAGCATCTAAAAGGGGAGGCATTTTAACGTTAATGCTAAATTTCATGTTTAGCATCAAGCATCAAATAATGGCAGAGGAAATAATTTATTTGATCTGTTAAATGAGATAATTCAAATATGAGGACTCATTGATATACAGTATTAAAATGAAAGTCAAGACTCAATCTGTAGAATTAATCTGTGGAGCACAATATTTAAAAATAATAAATTTCATCATAGGTTGCCGCTGTAAGTGCCTTTGCCCAGACTCTGCGAAGATACACATCTCTTAATCACCTGGCTCAAGCAGCTCGTGCTGTGCTTCAAAACACTTCTCAAATCAACCAGATGCTCAATGATCTCAACCGTGTTGATTTTGCCAATGTTCAGGTAAAAATTAATTTTGAATAGCAGGGTGTTTTTAAGTGTTACTTCTTCTATGATTTTGAACAGTATTGTCAGGCATCATTCTATCAAGAAAGGCAAGTGCTAGTATTTTGCTCATTCATATTCTTTGTGACTAAGTCCAAATGTGACAGCTTATGCTTTAGGAAGGTAAGAGCTCAGAACCATTACCTGTTTCTATTTACTCTCTTGAAATGCACATATTCTTCCAACTTCTATGCAAATATAGAGCAAATACTTTCTTAGAAAGGCTAGCATGAATCGTGTCTTACTAATAGCAAAAATGATATTTTAGGATTAGATATTTTAGGATCTTCTGAATGTCTCTTAAGTTATTAAATGCATAGCATTTTCAGTAGAGACTGTCTCCATACATTAGTATTGAAACTTTAGTAGTTTTTTTTTCTACATGCCTCTGCCTAAATTTACAATATATTTGTACTAAGCTTAATTTCTCTACATGTTTTTGCTTGTCTGAGGAAAAATACTTTTGTCCTTTTGGCCAGCAAAGTGAAAGGTTTCAGATTCCTGGTAGTTCTCTGTTTCTCTTTGTTGTAAATGAGCATTTTAATGTACTTGTTAACACACCTAACAGAAATCTAATCAAGAGTTCTTGACCAAAGGTACAATATATTAAGTACAGTAATATGTTGACATGACAGTCTGTGAATAATATATTAAATTGGCACATGACAACTAGAGTTTCAATGGAAATAGCAAGCAGTTAGTCAGCAGTCATTTTTTTCTCATTTTCTGAATTTAACCGTTAAATTAATTTAAACTTGGTAACACTCACTAAATTGCTGAATTCTGCATAGTGTGTTTCTCCGCTTGTGTGCAGCTTATGTTGTCTTTAAGTAATGTGTAATCTAATACTGCGTAGAGTCAGAAAACAATCCTCGTTTGCATATGAAGTTTCTCTTATAAGACAATGTAACAGGGTTTGTCTTTAAGCTTCTTTAGAACAAAAGAATGTTGGACTTGATTTCTTGCTATTTCTTTTATTACTTTAGTTCCCTGCATTTGACTCTTCTTCCTGCTTGTCCTGCCTGAAATCCCAGAAAAAATTTACAGGATACAAGTATTTCAATAGAAAAATTACAAAAGTAGAAGCCCTTTCTCACAAATGAATGTGGGAAACAGGAAACTTTTTTTTGTTTACATTGATGTCTGTTCTTTCATGCTATGCTTTTCCCACCTATTTGCTTTCAACAAAATTACAATAGACATAAAATAAAAACCACTTCTTAGTCTGTCTAGTAAGTGGATCAAGTCTCTTTCATCCATTGAACAGCTTAACCTTTGAGATACAATTACACTGTGTGCTTGGCTTAGGTATTGTCTATTCAAGAGCATTCTGTGCTATAACAGGAGCAGGCTTCCTGGGTGTGCCAGTGTGATGACAACATGGTTCAGAGACTCGAAACAGATTTCAAGATGACTCTTCAACAGCAGAGCACCCTGGAGCAGTGGGCTGCCTGGCTTGATAATGTAATGATGCAAGCATTGAAACCGTATGAAGGAAGACCTAGCTTTCCTAAAGCAGCACGGCAATTTCTGTTAAAATGGTCTTTCTACAGGTAGTATTTAATAGATTTTAAAACATTCTAACTATTCTATTAATTACTGAATTGTGCATTGTAATGAAGTTGACAAATATAATATCAAACAGTGGCTTGGAACATCATGAAAAACATGGGTTTTTTTCAGAGGATTTCTGTTAATAACCTTGAACTCAGGATTATCAGCAAATGAACTGAGACCTAAATCACCCTAGTTTATTGTTTTAAAGGCCATCTGAAAATGAATGCAGGTGTAATTTTGTCCAGAGTTAGAAACATATTATGAATTGTTTTGGTTAAAAAACTATGTAGTTATTAAGTCACTTACTAAAACATTGTAAGTACATTAGTAAGTACACATTAGTGTACTTACTAAAACATTGTGGCATCAATGTTTATTGGATAAGAAAGGCAAAAGCTGTTTTTAATATATGAAAAGAACATTAAGACAAGCATTTCATGTTAGCTGCTTATTGAAACAGTTATCAGAGTAAACCTTGTTCTTTGAACCTGGCTGTAGTGACTGCTTGCTGAAGATACGAAGATAGAATATGAACACACAATAATTCTATTGTTTTTGAATTTTAAGTTTCAAAGCTTTTAAATTCTGGCAATTGGAAGCATTGCCCTGGAAAGATTGACACAACAGACACTATTTAAGCAATAGTTTCTTTACAACAAATAGTTTTCTTGCCATTTTAGTTGTTTACGTTTTCAGCAAAGTTTCTTTCAAGTTTTACACTTGTTCAATTAGTGGTAGTTATGCTAAGGTCAATACCATAACCAAACCAGTCTGGGTATTTCCTACATGGTGTTCAACAGTACCTTCTGAGAAAGGAGAGAAGCAAATTATTGCCCTTTCCTTGTCATCCCTTTAAATCAGACATTTGAGGATAATGTTACTTTTGAGAATATTGGTTTTGAGGTGAAATGTCTGTCTACATGGATGAATGTTAAAATGGCTGTGACATAAACATATATATATTTTTTATTTTCGAATAGCTCAATGGTGATTCGGGATTTAACCTTGCGCAGTGCTGCTAGCTTTGGCTCTTTTCATCTGATCCGCTTGCTTTACGATGAATACATGTTTTACTTAGTAGAACATCGTGTTGCTCAGGCAACAGGAGAGACACCTATTGCAGTTATGGGAGAGGTAAGATAATATGTAAGAGACTAGATTGATAGATTTAGTGATTAATTGGAGAAAGTGTGTTTGCACATTTTTAAGTGTGTATGTAGAATGGTAGGATTTCTGCAGCATTACTACATACTGGGTTACAAATATATACAGTGGTTTCAAACTTGTTTCCCTGGTTCATTGTAAGAGTATTAAAATAACATTGAATTCTTAAAATCAGTTATTTCTAAATGAACTTAATCTTTTATGAATCTGCACACAGATTCATATGCATAGTTTGAAAAATGTTGATTAACAAACAACTATTTTCCACTTCTTGAGACCTGAATATTTTATGTGAAAATAAAAAAGAGCATAGTAATAGGAAAATGTTACTTTTGTGGATCTGTTTACATACATTTGCACACATAATTCCCACACAAATTTTTGACATTAGAAGGCTGGTTTACATGCAGAATTTTGGCTTGTCCAGACCTGTTCACATACCAGTGCAGACATACATAGAGGTTGGTAACACATTTGATTTTCATACAGTTGTTTCAAAGACTATTAACTTATAAGGAAGATCTAGAGTCTCAATGCACAACTAATTTTTTACACCCAGCTGTGGCATCTGCAAGGCAAAGTTTCTCTTACCCCTTTTCTTTTCAGTAGTTCATCTGACCTTTTATTTTGAGGGAGATGCTAAGGAAAGCATGAACTATTCCCAAAGACTAATGCTTCAAGGTGCTGGAAAATGGATATATTTAAAAATATGTTAAATTTTTAATAGGACAGATTTGTTACATTTTTACACTTGCAAGTCACTCTATCATGTTCCATGTTACCTATAAATTGCAGGTAATTTTGCTAGTTGAGTTGTCATTCTTCCCACAAGATATATTGATAGGTTTATTAAACATTATAAAGAGATCATATATTTCTAAGAGAAGTTGGAAAGTGTCTCAGCTTGCTTTGTCAAATTATTTTATATCATGTGTCATGACATGTTTCAGAAAAATTAAATCATTTTTCTACTTAGAAAGACCCACCATCACTATAGAGTCTCTTAGATTTCTTGCCTTATATTTGCAGAAAGTCCTACACAAGTATGCAGTTACAACATTCATGTTGTCTTAGTAGACTTTATATGATAAAGACAAAAATGTATCATAGGGCTGTCTAAAAGGTTTATGAGACTGAATATGGAAATACTGTGAGGAAGTAAGTATTGCAAAATTTTTGGAGATGAGGGGCAGAATAGAAGTAATACATTAAATGCATATCTTCTTATATTTCTGTGTATTCAATGGCTGAACTAAAATGAGGAAGATTACAGTCCAACAAGCACTGTAAAACAGTATAAACTGGTTGCAGCTGAGAAAAGCATACTCATACTTCTCCCTCTTCTTCCAACCTTGGACACAGGCATTGGCAAAATTCTTCTGAAAAAGACTGGTGTCATTTATAGCTAGAAATGTATCTATCTAAACAATGTGCTTTTCATTTGTATCCACTGGTGGCATTTTACCCTTCCAAATTTCAAACAAGAGAAACAGAGGAAGGAAAGGGAAGAAGGTTTCTAACTTACATACAGCTCCTTTTAAAAGCTCTGAATTTTGATATAAATCAGTTAACAGGTTATAAGCCCTTTCTCAGGAGTGCCTTTCATCTGCCTTACAGGTAGATTAGTAACACTGTGACATACTTCATTTTTGCTCCAGCACAATTAAAATGGTGCCTGGGAAATTTTAAAGGGAGTTTTTGTTATAATATTGGCAGTTCAGAATGAATATCCATTATAATTTATGACTTTATAAAACATAAATAGCTCACTTCAAACAACAAAGGCCCTGAGGAAACAATCTTTAATAAGGGTTGTACTTCTCCTTTTTGAGGGTTTACTTAGTGATAATTGTCTTAATAAGCACAAGACTGAAATACTATGCACATACTATGGCTATGGCTGCAGCTAAGATCATGCATTTGAATGAATGCATCAAACCAGTGAAGCACAGATTTCCTACATCGTAGATATTCTAAGTCCACATTTGCTTAAGACTGTGTCCATTTTTTTAATTGTTTATTTTGCAGTTTGGTGATTTAAATGCTGTGTCCCCTGGAAATATGGATAAAGGTAAGCATTTTAGTATCTCCAGGGTATAATTGTGTTTAGAGCTAATGTGTCTCTAAACCAAATAAATCCTTATGTTTTAAAAACACAGTCAAACAGAATTTAGAGCTGAATTATCCTTTAAAGTGCATGTACATGCTGTATGGATACATTGATATAATACAATAGTTATGTATGTAATATTCCACATGTAATAATGACTGGAATATTGTAGGTTTGTTTTAAAATAGGAATATTTTGAAGATGTTTATTATTGTCACAAAGAAATATTCAATTTTTTATGCAAATTTTGTTATATCTAATAAGATGCAGTAGAGTAGCAGCTGTGGCAAGAAAGACAAGAGTTGTTTATGGATATTTAAATGTAGTGAATGTTTTGCTAAGTCAAGAAGCAGAATTGTATGCAAGTAGTCAGGGAGAAATTAGTTCCTTAAATTCTCTTCATGCTCTGTTTTGACATGCATTCTTATACTGACTACTTGAGTGATTTGGGGTGATTTGACCTCAGAACTCAACTACTGACTATAAGAATATTTGTCAAAATTTGGGGTCAAATGACCACAACTCTCCTTGCCTCAGTTTCCCTATCTGTACCTAAACGTAACAACTCTTGTTCATCATGCTTAGGAAATGAGGTATTTTCCAATATGAAGTTACATTGTTTGATAGACCTTTTGAAATTGCAGGCTTTTTTCCCACATCAAGAGTGTGTAGCTCAAGTGATCAAATCTGAATCTGTTTATCTATTTGAGATAACAGATGACTTATTTTCCATTAAAATTTTAATTTTCAGTTTATGCTTTATCAGATTGCTCCCCTATATTTCAACTATTGCTTAGCAAATAAAGAGCCTGGTATTAGAAACTTCTCACTCTGTGGTAGTTACATGCTGGTTTGTTTGTGCAGATGAGGGCAGCGAAGTTGAAAGTGAAATAGATGAAGAGCTGGATGAAAGTGGAGAGCCACAAGCTAAGAGGGAGAAAACTGAGCTAAACCAGGCATTCCAGGTGGGCTGCATGCAGCCAGTGCTTGAGAGTGGAGTACAGCAGAACCTCCTGAACCCAATTCATAATGAGCACATTGTTGCAACTACTCAGACTATCAGACAATGCAGTGCTACTGGAAATACATATACTGCAGTCTAATGTGAAACTGCCCCTGGCCTCCAACACACGCCCCATTGCATTAGCTGTTTAGGTTTAATAGGAAAAAGAAAAAAAAAAAACAATAAGTCTGAAGGTTGACTATTGTCAAATGTAACTTCTGATCATTATTTTGTTGGAGTTGTTAAATGGAATGGGTGTACGTATTTTGTACGTATTTACAAAAAAAATTTTGTAAACAAAATCATTTTACTTTGGCCACTCAATATGAAGAGGTTTCTTTGTATCAAATGCAAGGAAGATTTTTGCAAAGTTAAATGTTAATGTTTTGTCCTCTTATAATAATTTAATTTTTTTCATAGTTTTAAAAATATTTTAATGTTAATTATTAGTTATGATGCTGATTTCATATAAATAGGTTTTTAATTAGATGCACTTCTGTGAAATATCAAAAGAACTATTTTCTTTGATTTACACTGGAGGCATACTTATTTGACAGCAGATGTATCAAATTTGTTATAAAAGGTGCTTTTCATCATACTACGAGAAGACACTATTTTGATAAAATTGTGAGTATTCAGGGGGATTTTTTTGTAATAATGCTGGAGGGTTGAGAAGATCTCCTAGTTTCTTCCTGTGAGGAAGAAGCCGTTTAAAAGACAGAATTGTATCAGAATGTGGTAATCTGTATGGCATAAATGTACCTAATTATCTGAACATGATGTAAACAATGCAAGCTTCATTTAAAATCAACAGTTTCAGATATTATTTGCATACATACCAGTTCCTCTGTTTTGAAGACTACTGATTCTATATGTGAGGCCACTGAACAGATGCTTTTGATTGTTCAGCGGCACTGTAGTTGTTAGAAACTGAAGCTAAAAAAAGAAGTGACTTGATTATTGTTAATTTTAAGTGTATGTGCTACTTATGCTGAACTGGACATACAGGAAAACATTCCATTTGGATGACTTTCTTCTATTCCAGGTCTTTTCCTACTAGTGGTTCAATCTGCTGCTCTTAGAAAAGGTGATTTATAGAATGCAAGGAATGTAGCAACCTGCATAATTTTTCTTTCAAAAACATTTCCTTGTTGTTAAAGTGGATTTAAATTTTTACAAAAATTAGACAAGGCAGTGTAACTGGCACACCTCACTTGTACCTATTCCCAATTGTGTAGAATTTGAATAGGTGGCTAGATGGACCATTGCCATTTAAGAATGTACATCAGGGATCATTGTACCTCGGCTATTACATGGTGCCTTAAACAGAACTGAAGCTAAGACTTAGTACTTTTTGTTATTCTTAACTCTTAAATTAATTCAACAAGGTGTGCCTGTCATTTTCAAATTCCCTAAGAAGTAAGGACAGGTTACACAGCCTTCAAAAGAATAAAATGATTTTTTTATTATTAAATAATTTTAATATCCCTCTTAGAATGACAATAGACCTATTTTTTCTCGTTTCTAGCTGGATTTCACTTTAATAGAAATAAAATTTGCTTGGGAATTTGGAAAGCAAAACTAGCTTTAATACCAACTTCAAATGTCAAAATAGATTGACCATAGTCCCAAGCATGATTATATATTTTCTAAACCCTTGCCTACTTTTAATTTTAAAAACTAAAAAGAAATAAATGAGCAGGTACATAATGCAGTGCATGTTTTTCAATTTCTATGTTTTGTGGTGTATCAGCCAGATATTACATTTTAATGGTTGAATAGTATCAGTTTATAGAGACCATATTAATTGACATTAATGAACTCAAGTTTTTCTTCACAAACATTTCATTGTGCAGACACATTAATTTGCTACACTTAAGTAGTGGAATTAAATAGGAAAAAAAATCCAAAAAGTGAATGAGAACACAAAAATATCAACTTTACAGGAAAGACTGTGTAAAAAAAATCGGATTATTTTATTCTGGTTTATTTAGTGTGTCTGGAAATGGCTTTCAAGTCATATATACCAAATGGGAGAAGAGCATGTAAAATGGAAGTGTATTTATAGCAAACAAGTTTGTTGCTAAAGTTTACATATGCTCCAAATACAGTTGCACATAAATTAAAATGTCCTAACATTATTGGTGCACAAAAAAAAAAAAATTAATTCCTTTGCAGAATTGTGAACCCATCCAGCTCATTCTGTGTAGGCATAATTCCTACTAATGTTAGTAGATGGTTTTTGCCTCAGTAAAAAGTAAAAGTGACATTTATATTCATTATTTCTAAACTCATAAATGCACTGAATCTCATTATAGATTTTGTTGTCACATATATCGTTCAGTGTGTCCTGATTTTTCCTTAGAAATCAGCGCATCTGTACCCTTCACCAAAAATGCTAAAACTAAGCTGTGATAAATATTTACTCCCCTTCATTGTGCATTATAAGATGTTTACAAGTAAAATAAAGTGAAATAATTCAACTTTTTTTTTTTTCATTTTCAGCTTTTTTAAAATACTGTAGTAGTTGTTTTAATTTTTGTGTTCATTTGTGTTTTCTTATTCTTTCTTGGTTAAATGTTGAATTTGTTGTTGCTGAGAAAAGAGTATAATTGTACAAGGTAAATCTAGATTGCTAAATATGGTGGGACTTGAGTATCTTTCATTGTTTAGCTTTCCACTCCACTCAGTTGTTAAATGTCATAATGTGAAAAACAAAACTGAACAAAAATCTGAATACAAAAATGGAATGTATTTCATAGATTCTAAAAACAATGAATTTTCAAGACAAAATGGAACTTTCACAGGTTCAAAAAACTGACTGGAGTCTGTATTCTTATTCTTAAATTCTAAATATTTTACCAGATTTTTTTAGAGGAACTATCTTACTGTGTTGTAAACGTACAGAATTGGGGGTCTTTTGTTTTGTTCTTACTGAAATTTCAATCAAATGCTTAGATAAAACATTTTGCACACTCTTGCTGTTTAATAGTTGGGTTTTAGTACTTGTTGAAGTAGAGAGTTACGAATACCTCAGTGTGTATTCTGTAATGTGTAGCATGCGGCTGCATTGCCACACCAGCTCTGAAGTCTGTTGTTAATGCGATGGAGAGGTGTAGCATGTGTCCACAGGGTAGACATTATGAGAGTTGACATGATTTATGTGTTTTATCTAATCTTGAAATGGAATCCAGAATAGTTATTTAAGAGGCATTTCCCCCATTAGCACAAAATAGCACAGTGAACAGTGTGGGGGAAGAGGTCTTGTTGAACTACCTTTACAAAGCACAGGGCCCAATTTTCAAAAGTTTTATATATGTTAAAATGTTTTGTTACATTTTCATCTTTCTTGTGGTAAATCAGATTTAAAACATATTTTTTCTTTTTTTCGTTTTTTTTTTTTTTTTTTGCTTGTACTGTAGTATGCTCAAAGCACCTTCATTTTTAATAAGTTCCATAAAAATTTGGAAAGTAGATGTTGAATTATTTGCCTATAAAATGATAACTTTAAAGGCATTACTGCCTTTGGTTCAAAAAAATAGGAAAATAAAGTTCTGTCATTCAGGAATGCATAGGTCTATATATAAATTAAATTTAAAGCAAGGTATTTTAAAATATATGAAATACTTTTTGTTTTATCTTGTTTTCCATAGGAAATCATGTTCACCAATTGACATCTGCACTGTTTAGGAAAAAATCCATGTTAGAGATACACTGCAATCCAATTTAATTCTAAATGCTTTTACAAAACAAAACCAACCACTGAGAGCCATAAATGCACTGACAAAAAACCCAGATTTACTAATAATATAAGTATACAACAATAATTTCAGAGTTTGAAATATAAATCTGAGAGAGCAAGATGAATTTCTGAAAATTGGGCCCTTGTCACACTAACAGGACCTGCTCTTTGTATACAGTTTAAAGCAAATTGGTACATGGAATTCTAGTATCTCTGCTAATTTGTTTGGTGAATTAACACTGAAAATAAAAACTGGAATAAAAGCATAAACACACAGTGCTTAGTTCTAGTACTAGGAAATTAATTTGATATAATGCCTTGCATTAACCCTTTGAGCATTGTAAGTAACATGACGGGAACAAAGATTTTTAGATAATTTAACTAGTCCACTGAGTATATACTTTGAAATAGCTTATTGTATTGTAAATCTTTTTTTAATTATGTCTAAAGTAAATACTTGCATACAATATGGGGATGTTTTTTTATTAATAGGGGCCTCAGTAGATGTAGGCAAAATATTCATTGCCATTTATATGTACTGTGTAATATAAAACAGTACTTCAGCTACCTGGTTTTCATAACTGCATGTATATACAAAGAAAATCAAACAGGATTCTACAGATAGGAAGTTGTCTACTTTAAGATTCCTTTAGAAGATTGTCCTGGTTTACAGCAAATTTGGGAGAAAACCTCTGAAAAGGGTCCTCTTTAGAAAGCAAACCCACATAGCCCCTCCCCCAAGACGGTTTGGGAAGAATTTCCTCAGAGAGAAGTGGAAAAAAACCTGTTTATTTAAACAGGCAAAGCACTCCCCAGCAAAAAAATGAACAATACCAGATGACAAAACTCATTTGTCGCTCTGAAGAGATGACAAATCCAGATAGTCTCTCTGGGGTGGTCACTCTGTTATCAGTCCCTGCGGCACTGGGAAAGGCTGCTGCTGCCCACAGTAGGTCCTGGTAGGCCACAAAGCGTGAGCTCCTGGTGTTTCCCCGGGTCCCAGGCCAGAGCAGGTTTGAACGGATCCAAGAGAAGGGAAAGAAAACCAGTCCAGGGAAAGCTTGGACTGCCTCAGCTCGCTAAACTAACTAAAAAGCAAAGGAGCGCAGTGTTTTGCCCTGTCTGTGCCGACAACACAGTGGAATTCTGTGTTTCAGCAAACTGTGGAGGAGTGAGTGCAGGCTAATAACAAAACTCCTTCGTCTTCTTCTCCCTGCCTTTGCTCTCAAAGCCTGTCTTGAAGGCACAGAATATAACAGCCAGCATAAACAGAACATACTATTGGGGATACTAGCATCATAACGTCACCCTAGGACATTCCACCCCTTATTCCCATATCATCATCTTACTACCAAACATCATGCATTTTATTCACATAAAAACTTCTATCTGTTCCAACCAAAAATTACAAGCAATACCCATCATGCCACCATTGTGTCCCCACACTGGACCACTGAATCCAGGACCCAGATACAGACCTGCAGGATTCCCCACTTTCATTTTACTCACTCAAAACTCCATCTTTCACTTGCTCAGACCTTTGACACTTACACATTTTCTTCTATCTCATGTGTGTGTGGTTTCATGTACAGACAATGGCAGTAACATCCAGCAAACAGTGATATTTGCATATCTTACCCCCCAGTCAGATCTCCCTGAGGTACACATGGTGTTGTTCCATCACTCTGCATTATCCACCATGTACAACCTGGTCCCTGAGCAAAGACAACCCCATGAATGGGTTTGTCTGTACTCGAGGCAGGATTGATCCACACTGATTTCCCTAACAAACCTCTGACATGTGCCACTGGGACTTTATCTCCATCTACTATATTCAGGGTCTCAGACTGGGCAGGACCTGCTCGATTGGTGGAACCATGGCTGTTAACTTATCATGTGGCCTTTGCTAAATGCTGCTCCCAATTTTTTAAAGATTCCCCCACCCAGTGCTTTCAACTGGATTTTTAACAACCCATTGTACCTCTCCACTTTGCCTGCAGCTAGTGCATGGTAGGGGATATAGTATACTCAGTCAATGCCATGTTCCCTAGCCCAGGTGTTGATAAGGCTGTTCTTGAAATGAGTCCCATTGTCTGACTCAATCCTCTCAGGGGTACCATGCCTCCAAAGGACCTGCTTTTCAAGGCCCAGGATGGTGTTACGGGCTGTAGCATGAGACACAGGGTAGGTTTCCAACCATCCAGTGGTGGCTTCTACCATTGTGAGCACGTAGCGCTTGCCTTGGCGTGTCTGGGGCAGTGTGATGTAGTCAATCTGCCAGGCCTCCCCATACTTGTACTTGGACCACCGCCCACCATACCACAGGGGCTTCACCCGCTTGGCCTGTTTGATGGTAGCGCATGTCTCACAGTCACGGATCACTTGAGAAATACTGTCTATGGTTAGATACACCCCTCAGTCCCGTGCCCACTTATAGGTGGCATCTGTGCCCTGATGACCTGAGGCATCATGGGCCCATTGAGCCAGGAACAACTCCCCCTTGTGTTCCAAATCAAGGTCTGTCTTTGACACCCCTATCTTTGCAGACTGATCTACCTGCTGGTTGTTTTGGTGCTCCTCATTGGCTCTGCTCCTGGGGACATGGGCATCTACATGGCGAACCTTCACAGGTAGCTTCTCTACCCGGGTAGCGATATCTTTCCACTCTTCAGCAGCCCAAATTGGTTTTCCTCTACGCTGCCAGTTAGCCTCTTTTCATCTCTCAGCCACCCCCACAGAGCATTGGCTACCATCCAATAATCAGTGTAGAGGTAGAGCTTTAGCCACTTCTGCCTTTTTGCAATGTCCAGGGCCAGTTGAATGGCCTTGAGTGCCATAGGTTGGCTTGATCCACCTTCTCCTTCAGTGGCCTCTGCAACCTGTCATGAGGGCTCCATACGGCTGCTTTCCACTTCCGATTCATCCCTATGATGCGACAGGAACCGTCAGTGTGAAGAGTGTAGTGTGTTTCCTCTGCTGGCAGTTGATTATTTGGTGGAGCTTCTTCAGCCCATGTCACTGTTTCTTGTTCTTCATCTGTGATACCAAAACTTTCACCTTCAGGCCAATTTGTAAGGCCTTCCAAAATCCCAGGACAATTCAGTTTACCAATACAGGCACACTGCGTGATAAGGGCAATCCACTTGCTCCATGTAGCACTGGTGTGTGGAGGGAACCTTGCCTTTGAACATCCACCCCAGCACCGGTAGTCAGGGTGCCAGGAGGAGTTGTGCTTCTGCACCAATCACCTCTGAGGCGCCTTGAACTCCCTTGTAGGCAGCCATGATTTCCTTTTCTGTGGGAGTGTAGTTTGCTCCAGAGGCTTTGCAGCTTGACTCCAAAATCCCAGTGGTTGACCTTGAGTCTCATTAGGCAACTTCTACTAAAGGCTCCAGGACAGACCATGGTTCCCAGCTGCAGAGTAGAGCACGTTCTTCAAATCTGGTCCCATCCTGACTGGGCCAAAGACTACTGCATGGGTGATCTGCTTAATTTGGGCAAAGGCTTGTTGCTGTTCAGGGCCCTGGTGGAACTCATTCTTCCTGCAGGTAACCAGGTAGAGAGGGCTCACAATCTAGCTGTACTCAGGAATGTGCATCCTCCAAAAGCCTATGGCACCTAGGAAACTTGTGTTTCCTCTTGTTGGTTGGTGGGGACATAGCTGTGATCTTGTAGATGCCATCTGTAGGAATCTGATGCCATCCATCTTGCCTCTTGATTCCCAGGAACTGGATCTCATGAGCTGCTCCCTTAACTTTGCTCTTTTGGATGGTAAAACCAGCTTCCAGGAGGATTTAGATTATTTTCTCTCCTTTCTCAAACATTTCTGATGCTGTCTTCCCCCACACAATGATATCATCAATATACTGTAGATGTTCTGGAGGCTCACCCTTTTCCAGTGCAGTCTGGATCAGTCCATGGCAGATGGTGGGGCTGTGTTTCCACCCCTGGGGGAGTCGGTTCCAGGTATACTGCACTCCCCTCCATGTAAAGGCAAACTCAGGCCTGCATTCTGCTGCCAGAGGAAAGGAGAAAAATGCATTGGCAATATCAATAGTGTCATACCACATCACTGCCTTGGACTCCAGCTCGTACTGGAGTTCCAGCATGTCTGGCACAGCAGCACTCAGTGGTGGAGTCACTTCATTCAATGCACGGTAGTCCACAGTCAATCTCCATTCTCCTTCAGATTTACGCACAGGCCAAATGGGGCTGTTGAAGGGTGAGTGGGTTTTGCTGACCACCCCTTGGCTCTCCAGCTCTCAGATCATCTTATGGATGGGAACCACAGCATCTCCAGTTGTTCTGTACTGTCAGCAATGCACTGTTGAAGTGGCAGTTGGTACCTGTTGCTCTTCTCCCTCAGAAGTCCTACTGTAGACAGATTCTCAGACAGTCCAGGCAAGGTGTCAAGTTGCTGGATGCCCTCTGTCTCTACAGCTGCTATCTCAAATACCCACCTGAATCCTTTTGGGTCTTTAAAATACCCCCTTCGAAGGTAATCTATGCCCAAAATACATGGGGCCTCTGGGCCAGTCACAATAGGGTGTTTCTTCCACTCATTTCCAGTCAGACTTACATCAGCTTCTACCAAGGTAAAGTCCTGTGATCCTCCTGTCATGCCAGCGATAGATTCTGCCCCTACGTGTCTTGATGGAATTAACGTGCATTGTGCACCAGTATCAACCAAAGCTTTATATCTTTGTGGTTCTGATGTGCCGGCCAACGAATCTACACAGTCCAGAAAACACGGTTTTCCCTCGCCTCTACCTGGCTAGAGGCAGGGCCCCTTTAAACCTGGTTATCCTTCCTTCCTTGGGCATATGTCTTGGAGGTTCTTTAAAGGGGATCAGACGTCATCATCATACTTGGTAATTTGGCTGCAGGCACCTGGAGCTGCTCTCATTTTGGTGGAACTTCCTCTCTGAGTCTTGCCTTCCTTCAATTCACGCACCCGTTACCTGTTGTGCCAGAGCAGCAGTAGATTTTCCATCCCATCTCCTCACGTTTTCTCCACAACTGCACAGGAAGAACCACAGTTCAACTCGTGGGGTGTACGTTCTCTCCCCATCTGAGGAACGTCTGCGTTGGATACCAGAACTTCTGATCTGTACTGCTGAGATTTGGAGAAGGTCTTCTTTAATCTCCTCCCTGAGTCTCCTATGATTCTTCTCTATCTTGTCTTCTAATTTCTGCAGACATGTTTCCACTGCTGCAATTCTGGCATGGGTTGGGCCATGTACAGCATCTGCATATGCTCGGAGTTTCCTTGCCATGTCGAGCACGGTCTCATCCCTCTCATCTTGCTTCATTATTGCTAAGGCAGAAGCGTATTCATGTGGCCCAAGCCGTACAAGTTTTCGCCACATCACAGATGTACATGGTACCAAGTCTGGATTCCTAGTTGTTATTTCATTTGAGAAGATAATCTCTGCCACTGCCACTTCTCTTAGACGTTGGATCCCTTGTTCTATAGTCTTCCACTGGGTTTGCTGCATATAAAGATCATCTGCACACAGGTATCTTTGTGCTACACTTTCCAGAACCCGTGCCCAGAGGCTGTGAGGGTTAGCCCCCCTCATCATTCCTTGGTCAATGACAGGATCATGTGACAGGGATCCCAAATGTATTGCCTCAGTACCATCCAGAATTGTAGCCTCGCCTGCAGCATCCCAAAGACAGACCAACCAACTAATTATAGACTCATCAGATCATTGAGTGTAATCCTTAGGCCACAAATGTCCTTCAGGGTAAAGGACTCAGTATTGGCTTCTGATCTTGTGCCAGTTGCTTTAACTCCTGATTTTATGTCAGCAGGCATTGAGGGTCCTTCTCCTGCATTATCATAATCATCATCATTGCCATCATCTTAGTCATTGTCATCATCCACTGGTTGATCAGTCTTGTCTGTGCACTTTCTGCTTCTCATGCTAGTAGCAACAGCCATTGGTTGAGGCTTACAGTCTGGTTTAGCTGCTAGCCTAGGCTGACTGTCTGGTTCAGCTGCTGGCTTTGTAACTGGGGTGTTGTCTGCAGCCTGAGTGACTGGGATAGCTGCTGATTTATCTCCCTGCCCCCCTTCCTCTGTCTGCTGCCCTACAGTATCTAGCAGGGTGCGATAAGCATAGGCCAGGACCCAGCTCACTGCAATGATCTTTTCTCCTTAGGGTCATCATGGCACTTCTCTTTCAGGTATTTCCTCACCTCAGAACCCCACTTGGGTTCTGAATTTCTTCACGCGGAAAGTCCCAGAATATAGGGTCATAAAATTCCTTCAGGATTTGGCCCATATCCTACCATTTCCCACACCACTCAGG